TTCAGGAGCACTTCGTGGGAAAGAATGCGTCGCGAACAGAGTTTTGCTGCATCGCAAAGCCAATCCACGGTTTGCTGTTGGCGTGGTGCAGACATCTATAATAGATCACGACGTATCGATCGACACGGCGTGATCTGTTTTATTTTTATTGTTAAATTGTTCTACCCCCACGTGACTTTAGCGAAATAACCAAAGCGTATGGATCCCCTGCAGTCACGAAAGCTTCAAATCAAGATTGAATCTTGAGATATGCAACAAACAAAAAAGTAAACCGCTTTACATTTTGAGCTGTGGGCTACAGGATCAGTGGTTTAACGTCGAACCCAAATTGGTTTAACATTGGCTTCTAAAAAAAATACATTTAAAAGCTTTCGTCAGCTGAACCGGCTCCACCCGCTCGCTTCGACTAAAGCGTGCACGACCCATACTCCTTGGTTCCTTCGGTAAAGTCACGTAGGTGCGTGACCCAGCCAACTGGTGGCTTTAAAACTCGCGCACAAAGGTAACGATTCCATCGCAACCGCAAATACTCACCCGGCGTTACGGACGCGGTGTGCGTGCATGACACGGACAGGCGGGAGATAAAAAGAAGCCCCCTCTGGTAACTTAATGGGTCCTAAAACGGGATTGGTTAGAGGCAGGGAAATTGAAGGGATTGGAGGGAAAACACGAACGTGGAAAGAGCTGGGAACGGAGGATTATTGACAGAGAGGGGAGCTTTGGAATCTGTTAGGAAAAGCGGGAAGGTGATTGGCTGGAGGGAAAGCAGGTCAATGGACATTGGGGAATGTGGTTTGAGGGATATACAAGTGGGTGGAAACACGAGAGCAGGGGACACTTTTGGCGTGACGTGAATCCTTGAAGACCCGGGTGTGTCTTGTGCTGGAGGAAATTGAAGACTCCTATCATTGAAGACTATTGTGTGGGTGGTGTCACTACACAAAAGTAATCTAACGCCTCTCCACAGACCTCAGCTGAGGGACCCTCTTTACAATTAACTTAAATTAAAACAGATTAAATATTGATCAACTATGTTTTTGTATTTTTCTCATAATAATAATAATAAACCTTGGGACACCATTGGTCTGTTGGGAACAATTCCACACGGCCAGAGGAAATCAAATTGTCAAGGTGGTGTTGGGCCAGCCCTTGTGTGAATTGAGTGTCCACTTCAAATCTTGACTAAACACACACACACCTGCTTTAAAAATGGATTTTACTCTTAACACGACCAATCTTATTCGTAAAATTGTTTTTTTGGGTTAAATCACGCAGGTATAAATGTGTCGTAACCCTTCACCACCCTGCACAGCCAGTAAAGTTTATCGCGTAAACAAAACGTGCCAATTAGTTACTACGACTACCCACCAGTGTGTTGGAGAGTAAATCCACATTTACAAAATGGAATTTTTTTTTAATCTTGTGGATTTACTCACCGACACACCGGTGGGTAGTCGTAGTAGTAACTAATTGGCACGTTTTGTTCACGTGACAAACCTTCCTGGCTGTGTCAGCTGGTGGTGGAGGAGGGTTAGGACACAAACTCACCCGATTTATAACCCAAAAAAACCTGTGAGGCTTTTACGCTTGAGTTATTTTCAAACGTCTTCCTCACCTTCCGTCTTTCCTTGGTTGACGTCAACTCTTCTGTCCAGCATTTGCATGCGTAAGCGCCCTGGAGAACAATCCTTTAAGGGAGCTGGATACATTTAAATGATTGTTGTTTGTTACGAGGAGGGGGTAGCTGAATGCTTTCCTGGGGGAAAAATTGCTGCGTCAAGCGAAAAACGCCCTAAGCGTAAACAACAATGCCATCGTAACCACGACTAAAAATGTGGAAACCGTGTGGCGAGAAGCGATGTCGCCACTGTGACTACCACTGTGACTACCACTGTGACTACCACTGTGACTACCGCTGTGACTGCCACTGTGACTACCACTGTGACTACCACTGTGACTACCACTGTGACTACCACTGTGACTACCACTGTGACTACCACTGTGACTACCACTACCGCTGTGACTACCGCTGTGACTGCCACTGTGACTGCCACTGTGACTACCACTGTGACTACCACTGTGACTACCACTGTGACTGCCACTGTGACTACCACTGTGACTGCCACTGTGACTACCGCTGTGACTGCCACTGTGACTACCACTGTGACTACCACTGTGACTACCACTGTGACTACCGCTGTGACTGCCACTGTGACTACTGCTGTGACTGCCACTGTGACTACCGCTGTGACTACCACTGTGACTACCACTGTGACTACCACTGTGACTACCACTGTGACTACCGCTGTGACTACCACTGTGACTACCACTGTGACTACCACTGTGACTACCGCTGTGACTACTGCTGTGACTGCCACTGTGACTACCACTGTGACTACCACTGTGACTGCCACTGTGACTACCACTGTGACTACCACTGTGACTACCGCTGTGACTACCGCTGTGACTACCACTGTGACTACCACTGTGACTACCACTGTGACTACCACTGTGACTACCACTGTGACTACCACTGTGACTACCACTGCGACTACCGCTGTCACTGCCACTGTGCGCACCCCGCGTGGTGAGAGGGCGGGAATAATAACCAATGGTACACCGCCACCGCACCGCTCAAGAAAGTAGTTCGTCATCGACCGCTCAGAAACCGCATTATAACGGTGGACACGTTCCGCATTGTAGCAGCGAGCGTTCCACGTTATAACGGTGGACACGTTCCGCATTGTAGCAGCGAGCGTCCCACGTTATAACGGTGGACACGTTCCGCATTGTAGCAGCGAGCGTCCCACGTTATAACGGTGGACACGTTCCGCATTGTAGCAGCGAGCGTCCCACGTTATAACGGTGGACACGTTCCGCATTATAGCAGCACGTGTCCCACGTTATAACGGTGGACACGTTCCGCATTGTAGCAGCGAGCGTCCCACGTTATAACGGTAAACACGTTCCGCATTGTAGCAGCGAGCGTCCCACGTTATAACGGTGGACACGTTCCGCATTGTAGCAGCGAGCGTCCCACGTTATAACGGTGGACACGTTCCGCATTGTAGCAGCGAGCGTCCCACGTTATAACGGTGGACGCGTTCTGGATTGCACCTGCGATTAGCACGGTCGGCTACATACGGTCCCAAAGACATTCAACATACATACACGCAATATAACGGGGTTGTGCGTTGTAGCGGCGTGCATTCCACGTTATTATAACTGCGCTCATTCCGCGTCATTACAGGGTTGTGCGTTCCGATAGCAGTGCACGTTTCCATGTTATTGTAGCGGTATTATTGGGCGCGAAACGCCACCTCCAATACACTCAGCCGGTAGTACCGACCACGTGTCAATAGGGGGCGGAAGAGGGGCTGAGCCCCAGTTTGAAGGGACGATGGCCCACGGGACCCAACGGAAACCCCTAAGGAACGGCATGCCCAGTGGTGCAGACCCCAAGCGGGGGGGGGGGGGGGCTGGGGGATGACGTCACCCCCAGGCCCTGCTGGAAGGATCGAGAAAGAAGGTGTGGCCGGGGGCGGAGTCAGCCACGCCTCTGGATAAAAGCCGAACCTCTGAACGGTGCCGGCAGTCGCCGTCCGCCTGAAGTTGAAGAGCCTCCTGAAGACTCGGAGAGAAGAGCCCAAGGGGCAGAGCCGAACCCCTGGCTAGGGTCGGCTGAAGCTTCACCAATGAAGACTGCGCAGGCTTCGCCAGTGTAGGGTTAGAACGTGGCCAGAGAGAGGCACTCTCGCCCGGGGGAGATACCTCCCTAGCGTATCGAGTGGAAGGGGCCGTTACCCCTTCTGTGTTACATAGTTGTTAATGTTATAATAAACGTGTTGCATCAAAGAAAGCTTCCTCCCGTTTGTACCCACCACATTATAATGGGCGGGGCACTTGGCCTGCATTATTATAAAGCAGGGATGGGGAACCTTTTTTCTGCCAAGGGCCATTTGGATATTTATGTAACATCATTCGCGGGCCATACAAAATTATCAACTAAAAAAATTTGCCGGTTATATTTGGTCAAGCATTTTATTAACTCACCCCTAATGCGATGGCTCGAACTGCTTCTCTTTGGCGAGGCGTGTGGTGGTGATGTTAGCCGGTATTCACGATGTTGCTACTACTCGCCACTGCTTTTCCAGGTTTGCTCCTAGATTTGTTGAATTTCGAGTCCCGTCTGCGGTTGCCTTGGCAGGGCCACACCAAATGATTTCGCGGGCCTCATACGGCCCGTGGGACCGCCCGTTCCCCACCCCTGTTATAAAGGGAGGTGCTCGTTGCGAATTCTCACGACACGCCCCGGGGTTTGACGGCGAGAACGACGCTCACGGCCACCACAGCCACCGGGAGACACTGAAGGAGTCCGCATCACGACTCGCCGTCCGTGGATCCACCCGACTATTTTGTCCCACCTGTTAATGAAGTTGCAGTCACCCCGTCATTCGACTGCAGGGCTATGCCTCTTTGTTACGGCACCACTGCCTCCTGGAATGCCGTTTCATTAATGACGTCCTCTTTGTCCTGGAGGAAAATTCCTGTGTGGATCGGCCCAAATAATGGAAGTAGGCCCATTTATGGGCCTCTGAGTCTATGGGTCTCTATATTAGTCTATGGGTCTCTATATTAGTCTATGGGTCTCTGTGCGTGTCTATGGGTCTCTATATTAGTCTATGGGTCTCTATATGTCTATGAGTCTCTATTAGTCTATGAGTCTCTGTGTGAGTCTATGGGTCTCTGTGTGAGTCTATGGGTCTCTATATTAGTATATGAGTGTCTGTGTGAGTCTATGGGTCTCTATATTAGTCTATGGGTCTCTGTGTGGGTCTATGGGTCTCTATGTGAGTCTATGGGTCTCTATGTGAGTCTTTTGGGTCTCTATATTAGTCTATGACTCTCTATATTAGTCTATGGGTCTCTGTGTGAGTCTATGGGTCTCTATATTAGTCTATGGGTCTCTATATTAGTCTATGGGTCTCTATATTAGTCTATGGGTCTCTATATTAGTCTATGGGTCTCTGTGCGAGTCTGTGCGAGTCTGTGGGTCTCTGTGTGAGTCTATGGGTCTCTATATTAGTCTATGGGTCTCTGTGCGAGTCTGTGGGTCTCTATATAAGTCTGTCTATTAACTGTCACCAGATTTCGCACACCATTTGGGATCAAAAGCATTCAACATAGCTGCCCCAAAGTGTGTGTAACCACCGTCTCTTGGCATCTCTGCCAACCTTTGGCCTGATTTCAAAAGACTTATTAAAATCACGCACGTTTAATTGTGAATGTTATCTTACAACATAAGTGCCATTGTTTGTTGTGGTTTGTGTTTTTTAATCTTTAAATCATGGAATGCTTTGATGTTGTCTGCCACCCGATTTGCCCTTGAAAAAGAGCTTCCTAATCCAGTGGGCTTCACTCAGGAAAACTCTCCTGGTTCTGACTTTCAAGTGCGCGAGTGGATAAATGGGCGAGTGAGTTGGCGGTAGACAAGCGTGTGTGGTGACGCTGTGTGACACGTCACCACTCGCTCACAAACTCACCCACCCATAATTCCATCTCTTCTCCAGCCCCAACCATTCACTCACCCACTCATCCACCCACCCACCTACTCAACCACCCACTCACCCACCCACTCATCAGTCCATCTTTGATCCATCTCCTACCATTTCAATCACCCACCCACCCACCGACCCACCCACTCATCAGTCCACCTCTCCTCCAGCCCGTGCTAGGAAGATGACGAGGCAGACGGCGTGGCCCTGGCGAGGGTGGCTCGCAGTTCTGCCACCTCGCGTTTGAGCGCCGCATTCTGGCTCTCCAGGAAGGCAGCGCGCACCGCTATTTGGTTCTCCTTGAAGCGCCGAGCCTCCCGTGACCGCTGCGCTGCGCGGTTGTTCTTGGTGCGCCGCTGCCAGTACTTCTCGTCCTACGGGCGGTGTGGGGGACACGGGGCGGGGCGAGGTTATGGTGGTTGCCGGCCTTCATCGGCGCTGCTGCTGCTGCTGCCGCTGCTGCTGCTCAGCGACGGTGGTGGTGGCGATGGTGCTGGGGGTGGTAATGGTGGTAGGCGGTGGTGGTGGTGATGATGGTGCAACTCGTTGACAGCACTTGCCCCTACAGCCTGGTAGAGGCTGCACAGTGGAGTTTTGTCTTTAATGGTGGTGGCGATGGTGCTGGGGGTGGTAATGGTGGTAGGTGGGGGTGGTAATGGTGGTAGGTGGTGGTGGTGATGGTGCAACTCGTTGACAGCACTTGCCCCTACAGCCTGGTAGAGGCTACACAGTGGAGTTTTGTCTTTAATGGTGGTGGTGGAAGTGATGGCGGTGGCGGATGAGGTGCTACTTGCTAACAGTACTAGCCCCAACAGTCTGTTCAGGCTATACGGGGGATTACTCTTTGTTTTTTTCGGTAAAGTCAAGTATAAATAAGAAATAAGAAAATAACACAATAGCGTACGACGTTTCGGTTGCGACACAAGCAGCCATCATCAGGTACAGAAGAGCTAAATTTATGAGAGGGGAAACACATAACCTCAGATGTATATACAGACACCCAAGTACAGGGAAACTGACACAGATACAACAGGGGACACAGAGAGAGAAGCATACCAGACAAACAGGGTTGAGCAAAATTTTGGAAACCATATTATTATGTTATTCTATTATTTCTCATTTATACGTGACTTTACCGAAAAAAAACTAAGAGTAATTCCTGCAGTCACGAAAGCTTCAAGTCAAGTCTATACGGGGGATCTTCGTCTTTGAATCTGCGTGTGTCTAAGCTCTTTTCAGAAGCGACCTGGCCACAAATGATAGCTCAACCAAGTGGCTGATATGATCATTATCACGTGGAAATCATCACGTGGACAAAAGAACTTCAAAACGAGTGATGGTAGTTCTACACGTGGAGGGGAATTCCCGGAGGACCTCACGTGACCACCACGGGGAGAGAGACACCGCAAACTCCAAATATACAGCAGCAGCAGCAGGCTTCATCAGGGTCAGGATTCAACCCACGACCTCCTGTACACCAGGCGAGGAAGATATCTCCTAGCCAGAGTGGTACCCCCGGCCCAGTAGGCCTTACCTGCTAAAATAAAAATAGTTAAATAGTTTCACAATCTTACCGGTCCTCTTTCCTCCTTGTGTCTCTCCCTTCTATCCCCCATACCCCCCCCTCCCATCACATGTGCACCCATCCCCCCCCGTCACCTTGCAGTCGTCAGGCACGTACACCTTGCGAGCCTTCTTCACGATGGGCTGTGGCTTGAGCTCGTCCGGCGAGAAGCGGCGACGCCGCGGGTCGAAGGGCTCCTGGCCCGGCACGGTCGACAGCGCTACGTCCGTGGGGCTCGGCACAAACTCCACCTCCACCTCGTCGTCCACCTCCTCGCCCCCCTCCTCCGCCTCGCCCTCCTCCTCCTCCTCCTCGCCCTCCGGCGCCAGCCGCCGTGGCTTCTTGGCGGCTATCGCCTTGGGATCCTTGCTGGGTTTGGTTGACGCCGTTGATGGTGACGGCGTTGACGATGGTGACGGTGGTGACGGTGATGGCGGTGGGTGTCGCGGTAACGAAGAGGAGTTGTCTGGACCACCACCGCTGCTGCTTCTGCCCGTGACGTCACCTCCTCTGTCGCCTGTAGGAGGAGGCGTTTGGCGAGTCGTTATCTCCCTCACCAGGTATGCAGGAGGTGATGGGTTCGATCACAGACCCCGACGATGCTTGTTGTATATTTGGGGTTTGTATGTTCTCCCCGTGCGTGTCTCCGTGTATCTTGCCAGGCTATAGTGCAATTGGCCTGTCAGAAGCGCTGTGGTGACGTCACCACTGCTTAGTGGCGAATGGCGGTTGTTTCTGTCTGCGTGTGTATCTCCGTACGTGTATCTCTGTATGTCTAGGGCACCACGGTGGTGAGATGTTATCTCCCTCGCCTAGTATACAGCAGGTCGTGGGTCCGATCCCTGCTGTATATTTGGAATTTGAATAACTCTCTCTCTCTCTCCCCCCCCTCGTGGTTGAGTGGATTTTTCCTCCGGGTCCTCCGGTTTTCCCCTCCACATTTAGAATCAACGTCGCGTGTTCACCGAATTTGGCTGCTCTACATTCCAACCCGATGACAAGGCACCACTTCGTTGAGCCATCATTTGCGATGGCCACGGTGGCTTCTGACAAACAGCTACACAGCTCGGTGGGGGGGGGGGTCTCACCTGCTAAGATAAAATATTCGACGAGTTTAAGAGCCGTTCATTGTTTTTGCTCGTACCGGTTTTTTTTTTATTTTGGATTTTCTTGGTGCTGGTTTCAGCAGCAGCAGCAGCAGCGGCACAACAAACGCAAGTTACTCTGGAACCGGTTTTGGCGAGACAGCGTCGCACCAGCAGTCGGGAACTCGAACCCAGTTTCCTAAGGAGAGAGAGGGCCCTAGCCTCTGTGACATCTACCAGCTCACCAGCATTAGTGATGCCGACTCTGGTGCTGATGAGACAATGCATGTCAAAACCTGTCCTTAGCCCATACACATGTGGGCAGTTAACCAGCATTGGCTCAAGAATGTATGTACAGGTAGTCCCCGACGTACGATGGAGATGCGTTACGATGACCCCATCGTAAGTTGGGGACTACCTCTACAGTCACACCAAGGTATGCGACCGCTTTGGAATACGTCGAATTTGGTACACGTCGCGTTTCGACGCCTTGCTTGGGATACGACGCCTTGCTTGGGGTACGACGTCTTGCTTGGGATACAACGCGCTTGCTAGAACTTGTATGGGTCGGGATGAGTCGGTACCCGCGGACACAATACTGTTACGGCTCTAACAAGCCGTATCAGTATTGTGTGGAATGACCAGACAATGTCACACTTCAGGAACATTCTTAGAAGAAGGCAAAAACCAACTTCAATGGACAAGTTTTTAGTAAAACTCAAACCTGGTGAGCCGCAACCAGGTCCCAGTCAAGTTAAAAAAGACAGAAAAGAGAAAAACCCCCAGAATTTCAGCTTCCTGAAGTTCTAATGGAAGGGGACTCTCGTTCCAAAAAATAACATCTCCTCCTCCTCCTCCTCATCCCCTTCCTCACCACCATCCTCGTAGGCTATCAACTCCTCTCAGCAAGGTAAAGTGATGTTACTTTTCATTTCAATTTATTTCAATTTATGTATGCATTTATTTTAATTTATGCATGCATTTTAGTAATCGGTAGTGTCTAAATTATTTTACACAACGCCCGTCAATGTATAATATGCCGTACAGAATATTGTTTCTTATACTCTGGAACGGATTATTTCCTTTATCCTTTATTTCTTCTGAGAAAAATTCGTTTGGGCATTCGTCACTTTCGGTGCAGGTCCTCCCCCTTCTGGAACGAATTAACGACGGATACCGAGGTGCCACTGTGCGCTGTGCGTATGCTGAACTTTATTGGCACTGCATATTGCCAACCGGGCTAATTGGAGGTGCGTGGGAAGGACAACAAACAAAACACAAAAAGCAGTGATGCGTTTTCAATATAGATGATGATTTAAAATTGCACAGCCGCAACAGCTTCCTAATATCGCAAGAGCATTCCAGACGGCCGCTGAAGCGCATCTGAAAGCGCACAATGCGGCGGCTGTTTTTGTTCGGTGGACAGCCGAAAGCCGCTGCGAGGATGATCGGAGTTTGCGTGATGATGAGATCAGCAAGCAGGCTGTGGTTCATTGTGGTACGCCGCGGTGCACCGGTCATCCATGATCTTGGAGAGGTCACCAGTGACCTTTACCCGGGGCCGTCTCGGTGCTGTGGAACTTCTGGTATGCCGACGGAAATGAGTTAAACCTTCCGGTCGCAGCGACGTGGGGAATTAACCACTTCAGACACACGGGCGCTCTGTGACCTTTGAAATCCCGCTCAGGTTTGAGATCGGGAGATAGGTTTGCGGGATCACTACGGCTCAAGCAAAACTTTATGTAGGAGCAGTGTTACCTGCGCCAGTTTGAAGCACTCTGGGAAACAGCCCTCGCTGAACGCAGGAATTGCCAGGTGGACAAAAATCTGCGCAAGGACCGTCCGAGCATGATTTGAGAATCGACAGTGGGAATGTAGTCGAGCGGCGATGTCTAATTTGGCAGCCGTGTGATGAACATCGACGCCTCTCCCACCGACGTTTGTGCTAGGGTCTCGAGTTTTGCGCTGGATCTAGGACGATCTAACGTTGGCAGAATGCACTGCATTAAAGTGAGAAACTGCCGCCTTGATCCTCACTCTCATTGGCAAAGAGCGTCACAAGTGCTGTGCACGGGCCGGGTTGACCGGTTGATGGATGGTTGGAGTGCAGCGGACCCTTCACGATGCACTACAGGGCACGGGGGCTGCGAGCCAACTCACTGATGCGCAGAGCACAGAACAATCTGCCAACCGACTCGATAATAAGTCAGTTGGCAGGTCCGCAGGCCGCTCTAAGCGAGCAGTCGGCCCATCTCGAAACCAGTTTCTTTCCAAAGATGCTCCCCGCCTCCTCCGCGTCTCTGGCGATAGCCAGTTACTGAGCGCTTTCCCCGTTCTCTTCGTGATTGTTGTTCGAATGGGCACGAGTTCATCGACAACAGCAGCGACGTCATGTTCTAATTGAGCTGCGAATGATTGGACCGTCGATGCAGGATTTAGACACGTCGATGACGACGACCGGATTCTTCTGACGGAAAGCATCGTGGGCCGGTCGTTTCCAGCCTCCATATGAAATCCTTGTGGTGAGTGGGCCACTAATCAGTAATGCCACTTTTCACATCGAGAGACTGCGATCTGATAGACCCACGTCTTCGATAACGTGGGTCACAGTTATGGCACTGGCAGATGTGAGGATATGATCCAGTATATTTCCCGAGTGACGTGTCACGCCGTTGACGTTGCTGGGTTCAAACGGTGACTGTCGATAGTCTCGGCGAGATCGATGTTGATTTTACCACAAGGACCGGTCGGGCCTGGGACAGTTTCAGGTCACGACAGATGATGTATCGAGAGCCAATTGACTCACAGACTAGCAGAGCGGGAAAGCTCGGAAAAGATTTCCAACGGCGGTTGACGGATGAAAAAAAATCGTAAGCCACCCCCTCCCCGCATGCTGTTCATTATTTTCACAAGCAGCGGCTGGAATGACGGTGATTGTTAATGAGTTTGCTCAGGGACACCACAGATGTCTCCACGGTGGATCGGTGCGATCGCACCACCATGGGGGCTGCCAGTGCCAGGCATCCCGCGACGGTGCTGATGTAAGACGGCGCTTCCGTTAGGTGCAGCTTCACGCGTAACTACATCCGACGAGTCGTCATCTACCCAGGTTTCACTAACGGCCAATAGGTCGAGTCCACAATCGTTGATCAGCGCCGTCTGGCGGAGCGTGCATCGACCAATACAAAGTTCAGGAAGCTCCTGGTCAGGAGTTTGGCTCAAAACCCGACACCAGCAGCAGCGGGATGGCGGTGAAGGCGCCCTTCCATGCGGACGTAGAGCAGAAGAAGAACCGACCACATCCGCAGCACAACCACGGTGCGAGGCATTGCGACAAGTGACGGACATGGTCAGGCAGGGGTCTGCATTTACAAATCAGATCGCAGCACAGTGGGTGTGGGACTCAAGGAGTTTGCACCGGAGAGTCGACCGGTCAGCGCTCCCTTCCACACATTGGATGCTGGGCCGAGTCCGCTGGCGAATCCCACCGCAGCATCGGCGACGTTCGGATGACACGGAATTGGGTTTGTCGGTCCAAGCCAAGTTGCTGGTATAAGGCCCCATCCTCTGGTGAGGAGGGGAGGCATTGCTTGCTTGACCAGACCCGCAAGAGCAGGGCAGCAGCAGAAGCATAAGTCGCAGCATCGAGTGAGAGTGAGTGAGTGAGAGAGAGACAGTGTGTGCATGTCACTGATCCTTCTCGTGAGCGAGTGAGAGCACGAGCGAGTGTCTGAATCTCACCGATCCTATTGATAGAGTGAATCTGTGCGCGAGTCTGCGAGCGAGTGAGCGAGTGAGCGAGTGAATCTCACCGATCCTATTGATAGAGTGAATCTGTGCGCGAGTCTGCGAGCGAGTGAGCGAGTGAATCTCACCGATCCTATTGATAGAGTGAATCTGTGCGCGAGTCTGCGAGCGAGTGAGCGAGTGAATCTCACCGATCCTATTGATAGAGTGAATCTGTGCGCGAGTCTGCGAGCGAGTGAGCGAGTGAGCGAGTGAATCTCACCGATCCTATTGATAGAGTGAATCTGTGCGCGAGTCTGCGAGCGAGTGAGCGAGTGAATCTCACCGATCCTATTGATAGAGTGAATCTGTGCGCGAGTCTGCGAGCGAGTGAGCGAGTGAGCGAGTGAATCTCACCGATCCTATTGATAGAGTGAATCTGTGCGCGAGTCTGCGAGCGAGTGAGCGAGTGAATCTCACCGATCCTACTTCTCTCGTCCGCGTCTCCTCCTCCTCCTCCTCCTCCTCCTCCCGCCCCTCCCCCTCCAGCGCTCCCACCCCTGGTGGCCACCTCGAATCCGTCGAGGCCCAGCCCGGTGAGCTCCTCCTGCGACAAGAAGTCGTCCAGGTCCATGTACTCGAGGGTGAAGGCGTTGCCGCCGTAGGGGATGGTGCGGTCCCAGATGGTGGGGCCCAGGAAGGCCGCTCGTGCCACGCTGGCGGCAATCCCGTGATCCCCCGAGGAGTCCGGGGGAGGGGAGGCGCCCTCCCCCGGGGGGGACCCCTCACCGCCCATCCCCAGCACGGCCTCCGCGATCAGTTTCTTTTCATCGTCGCCTGTGTGTGCAGTTTGGAGGGGGTTACGGGGTGGGGTGGAACAGGGGGGGGGGGGGAGGTTACAGGGGAGGGATTGAGCGTTAGCCGAGCGAGAGCTGGGAGGCTCACCGAGCCTCCCAGAAGAGTCTCAAGACTCCAGTTCAGGAGGAGGGGGGTTCCCCCGCAAACTTCTCACAGCGAGAGAGATTATTTTTGCCGTGCAGCTCTGGCGTATGGAACTGCCCCCCCCCACTCCCCCGCACCACTCCCCCGGTGGCAGCTATCCCTGTGCATTCGGGCCGACACTGCTGGCGTGCGATCCTCCAATGCAGTGTAACTCACGGTCCCAATCGCTGTCGTTGCGAACGCGCGCACAAACATTCCCGATCGACGGTCAAGGGATTCTGCAACATCCGCCGCGAGCGGAGTGGCTCGCGCACGCTCGCGCTGCAGCGTTAGCCAGAGCAGACGGCCGCAACCACGAACCGCCTGCGGCGATGGATGGCCGAACGACGAGCCCTCTACCCCACCACCGCTGGGGGGGGGGGGGGGGGTGAGGCCGCGTGAACGGGGGGGCCCGAGTCTTTGTCGAAACAGCGGCCGCAGCAGAACGTCTTCCCCGAGTAGCGCTACGTCAACCGAAGGCCATTTCCCCCCCCCCCCGCCCGCCCCCGTGAGCAAACGCCGCGACGGCGAAGTGTGACGAGATGCGGCGGTCCCCACGACCCCTACACACGCCGAGCGGTGAGCCCATCACTCAGGGAGGCCGCCACTGCCTATTACCGTGTCGCCGTGACCGCCCGGAACCCCGTGCAGCTCAAGAAAGTAGCTCGTCGTCGAAACTGCGTTGGAAGGGTGCACGCGTTGCGTTAGTGGCGTCTGCATCCCGCGTTCTAATGGAGCGTGCTCCGGAGGGCAGAGGAGCGACGCTCGCAACAACGAGCGGTGCACCGGGAGGCTAAAATGCAGCAGGCAAGGGGCACAGGTGGTGCAGCCAGTCGCCTCGGTCAACCCACGGCACCTGCTGGGTCTGTCCCGCGACCTCCTGCCAAGGGAAGCCTTCGACACTACGCGTGGCCTCGGAGTCTGCCTCGCCTGGCACCATCGCTGGGGCGTCGTCACCACCACCACCACCACATAGTGGCGAATAGCGGCTGTTGTTCCTATTGTGAGGGTGGGGTGTGTGTGTGTGTGAGTGGGGTGTGTGTTTCAGTGTGAGGGGGGTGTGTGTGAGTGTGAGGGGGGTGTGTGTGAGTGTGAGGGGGTGTGTGTGAGTGTGAGGGGGTGTGTGTGAGTGGGTGTGTGAGTGGGGTGTGTGTGAGTGGGTGTGTGAGTGGGGTGTGTGTGTGTGTGAGTGGGGTGTGTGTGTGTGTAAGTGGGGTGTGTGTGTGTGAGTGGGGTGTGCGCGTGTGAGTGGGGTGTGTGTGTGAGTGGGGTGTGTGTGTGTGAGTGGGGTGTGTGTGTGTGTGTGGGGTGTGTGTGTGTGTGTGGGGTGTGTGTGTGTGTGAGTGGAGTGTGTGTGTGTAAGTGGGGTGTGTGTGTGTAAGTGGGGTGTGTGCGTGTGAGTGGGGTGTGCGCGTGTGAGTGGGGTGTGTGTGTGAGTGGGGTGTGTGTGTGTGAGTGGGGTGTGTGTTTCAGTGTGAGGGGGGTGTGTGTGAGTGGGTGTGTGTGAGTGTGAGGGGGTGTGTGTGAGTGTGAGGGGTGTGTGTGTGTGAGTGGGGTGTGTGTGTGTGAGTGGGGTGTGTGTGAGTGGGGTGTGTGTGTGTGTGAGTGGGGTGTGTGTGAGTGGGGTGTGTGTGAGTGGGGCGTGAGTGTGAGGGGTGTGTGTGTGTGTGGGGTGTGTGTGTGAGTGGGGTGTGTGTGTGTGTGTGTGAGTGGGGTGTGTGTGTGTGAGTGGGGTGTGTGTGTGTGTAAGTGGGGTGTGTGTGTGTGTAAGTGGGGTGTGTGTGTAAGTGGGGTGTGTGTGTGTAAGTGGGGTGTGTGCGTGTGAGTGGGGTGTGTGCGTGTGAGTGGGGTGTGTGTGTGTGAGTGGGGTGTGTGTGTGCGTACGTAAGTGAGGTGTGTGTAAGTGAGCGGGGTGTGTGTGAGTGGGGTGTGTGTGTGTGTAAGTGAGCGGGGTGTGTGTGTGTGTGTGTGAGTGGGGTGTGTGTGTGTGTGTAAGTGAGTGTGGTGTGCGTGTGTGTGCGGGGTGTGTGTGTGTGCGTGTGTGTGAGTGGGGTGTGCGTGTGTGTGAGTGGGGTGTGCGTGCGTGTGTGTAAGTGAGTGGGGTGTGTGTGCGTGTGTGTAAGTGAGTGGGGTGTGCGTGCGTGTGTGTAAGTGAGTGGGGTGTGCGTGTGTGTAAGTGAGTGGGAGGTGCGAGCGTGTGTGTAAGTGAGTGGGGTGTGCGTGCGAGTGGGGTGTGTGTACGTGTACGTCAGTGGGGTGTGTGTGTGAGTGGGGTGTGTGTGTACGTGTACGCGAGTGGGGTGTGTGTGTGAGTGGGGTGTGCGTGTGTGTGTGGGGGGTGTGCGTGTGTGAGTGGGGGGTGTGTGTGTGTGAGTGGGGTGTGTGTGTGTGTGGGGGGTGTGTGTGTGTGAGTGGGGGGTGTGTGTGTGTGTGTGAGTGGGGTGTGTGTGTGTGTGTGTGAGTGAGTGGGGTGTGTGTGTGTGTGAGTGGGGTGTGCGTGTGTGTGTGGGGGGTGTGCGTGTGTGAGTGGGGTGTGTGTGTGTGTGAGTGGGGTGTGCGTGTGTGTGTGGGGGGTGTGCGTGTGTGAGTGGGGGGTGTGTGTGTGTGAGTGGGGTGTGTGTGTGTGTGAGTGGGGTGTGTGTGTGTGTGAGTGAGTGGGGTGTGTGTGTGAGTGGTGTGTGTGAGTGGGGTGTGAGTGTGTGTGTGAGTGGGGTGTGTAAGTGAGTGGGGTGTGAGTGGGGTGTGTAAGTGAGTGGGGTGTGTGTGTGTGTGAGTGGGGTGTGTGTGTGTAAGTGAGTGGGGTGTGTGTGTGTAAGTGAGTGGGGTGTGTGTGAGTGGGGTGTGTGTGTGTGAGCGGGGTGTATGTGTGTGCGAGCAGGGTGTGTGTGTGAGTGGGGTGTATGTGTGTGTGAGTGGGGTGTGTGTGCGTGCGCGGGGTGTGTGTGTGTGTGAGTGGGGTGTGTGTGTGTGAGTGGGGTGTGTGTATGTGAGCGGGGTGTGTGTGTGTGAGCGGGGTGTGTGTGTGTATGTGAGTGGGGTGTGTGTGTGTATGTGAGCGGGGTGTGTGTGTGTGTGAGCGGGGTGTGTGTGTCTGTGTGAGCGGGGTGTGTGTGTGTGTGAGCGGGGTGTGTGTGTGTGAGCGGGGTGTGTGCATGTGTGAGTGGGTTGTGCATGTGTGTGAGTGGGTTGTGCGTGTGTGTGAGTGGGGTGTGCGTGTGTGAGTGGGGTGTGCGTGTGTGAGTGGGGTGTGCGTGTGTGAGTGGGGTGTGCGTGCGTGTGTGAGTGGGGTGTGCGTGTGTGTGAGCGGGGTGTGTGTGTGTGAGCGGGGGGTGTGTGTGTGTGTGAGCGGGGTGTATGCGTGTGTGAGTGGGGTGTGTGTGTGAGTGGGGTGTGCATGTGTGTGAATGGGGTGTGCGTATGTGTGAGTGGGTTGTGCGTGTGTGAGTGGGTTGTGCGTGGGGTGTGCGTGAGTGGGGTGTGCGTGCGTGTGTGAGTGGGATGTGCGTGTGGGGTGTGCGTGTGTGGGGTGTGCGTGTGTGAGTGGGGTGTGCGTGTGTGTGAGTGGGGTGTGCGTGTGTGTGAGTGGGGTGTGCGCGTGTGTGTGGGGTGTGCGTGTGTGTGAGTTGGGTGTGCGTGTGTGTGTGAGTGGGGTGTGCGTGTGTGTGTGAGTGGGGTGTGCGTGTGTGTGTGAGTGGGGTGTGCGTGTGTGTGAGTGGGGCGTGCGTGTGTGAGTGGGGTGTGCGTGTGTGTGAGTGGGGTGTGCGTGTGTGTGAGTTGGGTGTGCGTGTGTGTGAGTGGGGTGTGCGTGTGTGTGTGAGTGGGGCGTGCGTGTGTGAGTGGGGTGTGCGTGTGTGTGTGAGTGGGGTGTGCGTGTGTGTGTGAGTGGGGTGTGCGTGTGTGTGTGAGTGGGGTGTGCGTGTGTGTGTTTTTGTGTAAGTGAGTGGGGTGTGCGTTTTTGTGTAAGTGAGTGGGGTGTGTGTGTGAGTGGGGTGTGCGTGTGTGAGTGGGGTGTGTGTGGGGTGTGTATGTGGGGTGTGTGTGAGTGGGGTGTGTGTGTGTGGGGTGTGTGTGTGAGCGGGGTGTGTGTGTGTGAGCGGGGTGTGTGTGTGTAAGTGAGCGGGGTGTGTGTGAGTGTAAGTGAGCGGGGTGTGTGTGTGTGAGTGTATGTGAGCGGGGTGTGTGTGTGAGTGGGGTGTGTGTGTGGGGTGTGTGTGAGTGGGGTGTGTGTGTGCGAGTGGGGTGTGTGTGAGTGGGGTGTGTGTGTGTGTGGGGTGTGTGTGTGTGGTGTGTGTGTGTGTGAGTGGGGTGTGTGTAAGTGAGCGTTGTGTGTGTGTAAGTGAGCGGGGTGTGTGTGTGTGTGTAAGTGAGCGGGGTGTGTGCGAGCGGGGTGTGTGCGAGCGGGGTGTGTGAATGAATGAATGCGCTGCCAACCCTCACAGCCGCTGGGCAAATGGAATTAGTGCAAAGCGTTCTTGGCAGGGTACAGCCTGCCGGCACCGCACGCATAACCGCAGCCCCTTACGTAAGAGCAGGCGGACTCGCACGGCAGAGAGGGCTCACAATGGCCCTGTCATTAGCTGTGATCCAGCAGCTGAACAAAAACCTGGGTTTCTGTTACAGTGCCCCGTCTGCCTCTGCCCCTCTCCCTCAGGCATGCACATGAAGACCACAACACACTCACCACTCAGTCACTCACTCGGGCGTCCACTCACTCAACAAACTGAACACAACAAGCAGATCTAAAGACGTTAGTTTGTCAATCTGGATGATGATGTAAAAGTGCCCACAGCTCCAAGTGGCTTCCTCACATCGGAAGGCAGAGGCGTTCCAGATGGCCGCAGAAGCGCGGCTGAAAG